GATGAGTTCCTTTCGGTACGAGGCTCCCTTTCCCCGCTGAGCTGTGAGAGAGCTGGGCAGGCTGCAGAGGATCTGTCGCTTGGTGCTGCCCTGGCTCCAGCGTGGGGTTAGGGTCTTCCAGACCCACCGAGAGGCAGTGGCTTTCAAGGACATTTTGTCAGGGCAGCGTGCCTCCCCACAGGCTTCACCTCCCTGCTGTGGAAGGGTGTTTTGCTCTGACTTCAGGCAGCAGATACCATGCTGCAGGCAGGCTGTTGTGGAGCTGCTCCGGAGCCGGGGGTAGCCCTGGCAGGTAGGGGCACTGTAACTTCCAGAAGCAGCTGTCAGCTCCCCGCTGCGGCTGTGAAGGAGGTCCATCTCAGAGGCCTTCCGGAGCAGGACTTCCCTGCGGCACACCTAGCTGCCCTCAGTCAGAAGTCCCTTGCCTCAGAGAGGAAGAAGTTGGGCTGATTCTTGGACGGCTCTTGCCTGTCTTAAAAGAAGTTCTCTTTTGTGTGTCTTCTCCCCTCTCTCTCATCAGAGACAAGATGGTCCATAGCTTGAGTGAAAGTTGCACCCTTTCTAGGAGACGGGGGTGTGGGTCGCAGTTGCTGCTCTGCCTGCACAGCCTCCTTTCACGCTTCTAATGGTTTCTTAACTGATTGTCTCAGAATAAGGCTCAGATCCCGCGGGGCACAGCAGTGCACGCGGGTGTTTCCTCACTGAGCACCTCTGGCAGATCCTCATCCCGCACGTGCTTGCACTTTCTGCTCTAAGCAGTAGGTGGGACTGGAGGAAGTCCCGGGGCCGTCAGATGCCGTGGCTCTGTGAGCATGTGAACTGGGAGGAGGTGGGCTGCTCCCTGCAAGGGGTGCCGGAGCTCTCCTAGCCTTCTAGGGGCAGCTTCTTCAATGTATTTTTGAAATGCTGTTCAAAGATCAATAGAATTGCCAAAGAGAGCTCAGGCTGCCACGTGCCTCATAGTAAGACATCTTGGGCTGCAGATCTGAAATGCTTTTGTGCGGGCGTTGCTCCTTGGGACCTCTTGTAAGCTCATTTCCAGGTCGTTGCCCGCAGAGCTTGCGTGAGCAGAATGGGGGTGAGCAGTTACTTGTCTGAAAGAAAAGCGTCACTGAGATGGTTGCACAAACTGCATGGTTAGATCTTCCCCTCTCCCTGAAGTTGAGCGAGTTGTTAGTGAAGACGCAGCGTGTTGCCCCACATGTTCCCAGACATGGGCCACTGCAGCCAAGGCCACGGTAGTCCACAGGCACAAGAGGTGTGTGCCACCCTTGGGGTCTGCTTGGGTAAACCTCAAACCAGTGGCAGAGATGTGTTTTACATAGACCGTGAGCTTGGCTTGTGGCACCCCATGCTTCAGGACACGGGAAAGGCGAGGGCTTGAGTCATAGGGACTCACGTACCCCGTTGGTATCATAGCTGTCGTCCTGAGACGGGGAAGGGACCAAGTGGGACTTGGAGCTCGGCAGTCTCTGGGCTGTCTTGCAGCTTCATGTCTGACGGCCTCTGCGGAGAGGAGGGTTCTCACCAGCAGAGTGTCTGAGGGATAGCCGCACCAGGCCTGTGTTTTGGAGAGGGAGCACACTGAAGTATCCCCAGCCATGCCCCTCTGAGAAGAGAGGCACCTGCTGCTGCTCGGGGCTGCGTGGTTCATTGCTGCCCCCGTGCCTTTGCTCCAGACCTTTGTCTGGAAGGGCTTCCCTGGGCCGACAGCCAGCAGTCGGGTGTCTCTGTCCATTTGCTGCTCTTCGCTGTTGATTTCAGAATTTTAACATTTTATCAGTGGAAAAACTAAAGCAGAAAGAAGGGAAACTGCTTTCCCAAGATTCCCCGTTGGGCAGGAGCAGCGCATGGCGTAGGATGTTTCCCCTGTCCCAGGCCCGTGCTGCGCTTCCTTGCCCCCGCTGTGCGAGGCTGCGTAGGTGGAAGGTGTTTCTGCAGCCGCGCCCCTGGGCAGCTGCCTGTCTCTGACTGTCCCGTCTTGTTCTGCCCTAGGCCACCAATGGTGGAGGAGCCTTCAGTGACTACTCCTCCTCTGTGCCCTCCACACCTAGCATCAGCCAGCGGGAGCTGCGGATTGAGACCATTGCTGCCTCCAACACACCCACCCCCATCCGCAAGCAGTCGAAGCGGCGCTCCAACATATTCACGGTAAGCGGCACTGGGGTCGGAGGAGCTTTGGGACGAGTTTTCTGAGGGTCAGGCAGGCAAGGAGAGGGGAAGGGAGCGGATCCGCAGCAGTCTCGCCCCACAGGCTTTCGTGCACTAGTCTCTAGGTGAACCTTGCTGTGCTGGCCGGGGGGGACGGGTGGCAGGGGAGGCAGAGCGGGCGCGTGGGGGGGTCTCCCTGCAGGAGCGCGAGTGTGCAGCAGGGAGGGAGGGAGCCTTCTG